TCAAAAGTTTTCTGGGCTTCGTGGGGGCGGGCGGAAATCGGCGCCCCCCCTTTGATCGATGGCCTCCAAGATGGCCTCGAGAGGCCATCGTGGGTTCCAGAGGGCATTAAGAGGGCCTCAGGGCAGCCCCAATACGGCCCCAAGAGCGCCCAAGCGCGCCCCCGGAGCGTCCCACGAGGGCCCCAGGAGGCGGTTTGCCTCCTTCTTGTCCATTCCTCCTCCTCCTCCTCCTCCTCCTCCTCCTCCTCCTCCTCCTCCTCCTCCTCCTCCTCCTCCTCCTCCTCCTCCTTCTCTTCCTCCTCCTCCTCTTTTCTCCTCAGGGATGGTCCCAAAAGACCCTCCAAAGATACCCTTGTGCTCCCAGAAATGTCTCTATTCATCCTGGTTGTCCGCTTTGTTTCACTGTACATGCGTCCCTTCGCCCATTCCCCGTCAAATATCATGAACAACGTGTCCGAACGGGCTTGTGGGGATACTGTTTTATTCGCGAGCGCAAACGGAAGTGCCGCGCGCCGTCCAAGATATTGCAAACTAGCAGTGGCCTGAATTACCCAGTACGCGCGCAGGGGCGACCTACGCCGCGGCTGAGAAGCGCGGGGGGCCCAGAAGAGCTCCAGGTCAACGAGCAGCGCCATAATGGCGAAGAGCAAAAGACGTCGGACTCGAAGACCACCAGAATCAGAGCGTGAATTACCTCCCCCGCTTTCGCTTCCAGGCAAAACCAAGCCATACCACGCGCCTCCTCGTCAAGCGGCCTGACCAGTACAGGCCGCAATTTGGCATCGTTTGGTATCTCTTGGAAGCGAGGGTGGTCAAAAGCGAGGTAGGTTTGTTTTCCCCCGACAGGTCGGAGAGGACGATCAACTTGCGTGCAGGCACTCGACGGAACTGTTCCGGATCGCCAAAAGGGAGCGTTGCCGGAAGCGCCACCACGGCGGGAAAGCAGGGGAAGCGACGCCAGGGCGCCATAGCGGCGAAGGCGGCGGACCGCGGAAAAGGCCACGTCCAGAACTGGAGGCGGCGGCGCCAAGCCAGGGGAGCAGGTCGACCCTGGGGCTTGTGGGGATACGCGACGCGTGAACAAGTGATTCTCCTTTCTACAAACGAATAGACCCCCCCCCCCGGCGTTCGCCGCCCCCCTTTTCGGATCTGTAAATCATATACGATCATGACCACATGTCCATCCGAACTATGAATTTACAATGTCCTATATAAAAACGATACGCGGGGACATCTGTTGTTCTAACATAGCACTTTTTCGCGAATCCCTTGCAATAGATGGACGAAGTGCACACGCGCGAGTCGTCGCGCGCGCATACCGAAATCCTTCAAAAACCCTCGGTGCCGGAAGGATTTCGCAATCGAGCTTCCCCCCAAAAAACATACAACAATACAGGGTTTCGAAACACTGATTTGCTGAAAGAAGCTTACGCGCGAGCTCTTGCGAAATGTCAAGAAATTATACTTGTTTCAATATTTTCAAAACATGCTACCAAACGGGCGTCGCGCGCGCGCATGTCGAAATCTGTCGAACGCCCTTGCGCGTGTGCCGTCGCGAGAATCCTCTACAACAAATGGGACGAAGTGCAGACGCGCGCGTCGTCGTGCGCGTATGCCAAAATCCTTCAAAACCCATCGGTTCCGGAAGGATTTCACAATCGTGTGTCCAAAAAACCTACAACAACACCAGGTTTCGCAACACGGATTTTCAACAAAAGCGTGCGCGCGCGCTCTTGCGTCGTCGTCGTCGTTGCCGTCGTGGCCGTCCTCCCTCCTCCCGCGTCGTCGTCGTCGTTGCCTACGTCGTCCTCTGTCTTTCCTCGTGTTCGTCGTCGTCCTCTTTGGCGTCGTGGTCGTTTCCGTCGTCGTCGTCACCGTGGTCGTCCTTCCTCCTCCTCCCTCGTCGTCGTCGTCCGTCGTCGGCGTCTCGTCGTCGTCCCTCCTATTTCGTCGCCGTCGTCGTCGTCGTCGTTGACGTCGTCGTCGTCTTCCCTCCTCCCTCGTTGGCGTCTTCGTTGGCGACGTCGTCGTCGTCTTCGTCGTCGTCGTCGGCGTCGGCGTCGTCGTCGTCTTCGTCGTCGTCGACGTCAGCGTCGTCGTCGTCGGCGTCGTTGACGTCGTCGTCGTCGTCGTCGTCGGCGTCGCCGTCCTTCCTCCTTCTTCGTCGTTCGCGTCGTCGCCGTCCTCCCTCCTCCCTCGTCGTTGTCGTCGTTGTCGTCGTTGTTGCCGTCGTCGTCCTCCCTCCTCCCTCGTCGTCGTCTTCGTTGGCGACGTCGTCGTCATCTTCGTCGTCGTCGTCGGCGTCGGCGTCGTCGTCGTCATCGTCGACGTCAGCGTCGTCGTCGTCGTCGGCTTCGTTGACGTCGTCGTCGTCGGTGTCGTCGTTCTCGTCGTCGTCGGCGTCGTCATCGTCGTCGTCGTCGTTGTCATCGTCGTCGTCGTCGTCGGCGTCGGCGTCGTCGTCGTCGGTGTCGTCGTCGTCGTCGCCGTTGTCGGCGTC